CTAGTGGTTTGTGGTAGATGAGCTAATCCATATAGTGATTTGTGGTAAATGAGCTGATTCATATAGTGGTTTGTGGTAGATGAGCTAATATAGTGGTTTGAGGTAGATGAGGTAATCCATATACAAAATGTAGTGGTTTGTGGTAGATGAGCTAATTCATATAGTGGTTTGTGGTAGATGAGCTATTTTATATAGTGGTTTGTGGTAGATGAGCTAATTCATATAGTGGTTTGTGGTAGATGAGCTAATTCATATAGTGGTTTGTGGTAGATGAGCTAATTCATATAGTGGTTTGTGGTAAATGAGCTAATTCATATAGTGGTTTGTGGTAGATGAGTTAATTCATATAGTGGTTGTTGTAGATGATCTAATTCATATAGTGGTTTGTGGTAGATGATCTAATTCATATAGTGGTTTGTTGTAGGTGATCTAATTCATATAGTGGTTTGTGGTAGATGAGTTAATTCATATAGTGGTTTGTGGTAGATGAGCTAATTCATATAGTGGTCGTTGTAGATGATCTAATTCATATAGTAGCTTTTCCAAATACAAATGCTGCAAGCCTGGCAAGCGAGCAGAATGTAATCTTTGTGTACTAGTACTACTGAGTGTACAGCCAAGGATGGGAGAACATTAGGAGACACAGAAATGAAGCGATCAATATATATTAAGAAAACTTCTATTAAAAAAAGTTTATTTGGAAACGCATTTCCTTAATTATCATCTTAAATAACACCACGACAAAACAAGTCTAAAATTTTAAAGTACTTTTGCTTATTATTCCATTTAAACAAAATCTTCTTCCTAAAAAAACTGTCCACTGCGACAAAACACAAATATGTTAAGCTAGCAGTAGAACAAAAATCTGACATGATTACAAAAAACTTATTTTTAACAATCTCATACAACGCTGGCTGTTATTCATCATACACTCAAAGCGGGAGGGTGTCACCCTCGCACGCGTCCCAAGCAACGATAAAAACTCGCGCTAAAAACGCAAAGGCTCATGGGTATACGCTTGTTTGTAAACAATTTCACGCTATGGCTATCTGACGCATGCGCAGGTGTGACTCCCCGCTTTGACCAATTAGATAATTACGTACACATTAGAACATTTTATCTACGGTTTGACACTGATAACATGTGTCCCTCATGTAAGCGTACGGAAAACAAGGACAATATAGGCTTTGTAGAAGACTTTGTATGAAGACCAGGAATAGCATTTATAATAAATAGACTCGCTTCAGTTAGGATGATTTTTGTTTACGATAAACAAAAAAAAATATCTTTTAAAAAAAATGGTGATTGGGTTGCAAAGACTGTTGTGCAATCGCAAAATCGCAATTACAGCGCTTTCAGGACAGTTTGAATTCAATGCAATATGGGAGAGAACCTTTCATTGTATATCATCACAGTCACTCTACTAGTAGATGGAAAACTATTATACTGAAATCTCACTAAATTATATGTCAATTTGTAATGTTTTATCAATATTAGGATTCGCAT